ATTGGACCTGTGAATGTGCCTGCCTCTTCCCAAGTGAAGAATCTAGGAGTTGTTTTTGACTCCCACATGACCATGAACAAGCAGGTCACCCAAATGTGCCAGTCTTCTCACTATCATCTTCATCAGATTGGTAAACTAAGACGATATCTTTCAGATGAAACCGCCAAAACTCTCACTCAAGCAACAGTCATATCTCGCCTTGACTATGCCAATTCACTTTTGTTTGGGATAACAGCTTCCCTGGTTCATCGACTCCAGGTTATACAAAACACAGCCGCCAGGATAATAACTCGTTGTCCTCGAAGAGACCACATCACCCCCAGGTTAAGAGAACTGCATTGGCTACCCGTTGCCAGACGCATAAAATTCAAGGTGCTTACCATTATCTACAAGTGCCTGAAGACCAACACTGCTCCATCTTACTTGTCATCTCTTCTAAACAACCATAGACCAACAAGAACTCTTAGATCACAAGATAAAGATCTGCTTATCACCAGACCATCCAGGACCAAATACGGGGACCGCTGCTTTGAATGTGCAGCTCCCATGCTATGGAACAACCTCCCTATGTCGCTAATATCCGCCCCAAGTCTACCAACTTTTCGAAAACATTTAAAGACATATCTATTTGAAATGAAATAGACTGATCTGCACAAGCGCCCGTGAGCAGCCTAGCTGGAACTCGGCGCTATAGAAGTAGATTATTATTATTATTATTATTATAATGAGGGGGAAATTGTGATAAATCTGTGGTGAGATATTAATATGCGGACAGCTGTTTTGTTACACTAATAGTCTTAAAATGAGGCGGGAATTGTGTTAAACCCTTATCTTTTGTGAGTGAGTGAGTGAGTGAATATTTAACGTCACATCGGCAATATATCAGCCATATCGTGACAAGAACATTTTACATCGAAATGGAATATGTGTATATTATATAAACCTGTCATCGAAGGACAGTAAAACAACTAGAATATCACAATTAGATTTAAAACTAGTGTGGAAGGTTAAAACTAATAGCACTATTAGGACAATCCAAAATAAAAACAGGCTATAGATCGCCAACAACTGAAAGTAAATCACCATACTAGGGATATCTTTTGTGAAATATGGAAACGAAGACAAATGGACGTAGCTGCAGAAAATTTCGATCGAGAGGCGATGTCAAATATATACTAGTGAAAAATAGTATATATATATAGCACTGCTTTTAAAATAAAAATATCCAAAATGTTAAGTGCCTTATTCTTTCCGATTTTTTTAATGGAATTATTACATTTCTCATTCTAATACATTTTACCTTAAAAGGTCTGTAAGCAGATTTTAAACATTATAATAACCGACCCTAAGACAGGCGCTTTCGGTTTGATACTTCGTGACACAAGAAACACTCCAGTCATAAAGCATTTTGAAAGATATGTATAATTTCTGTAACTTCTGTAACCACGTTAATTATACATTATCCTATTCTCCAAAGCATTTGCGATTTCAACTAAGAATGAAAACACTAGGCAATGTTAGGTGCGTTAATTTTATTAAAAGGTATATTTTCATGGCATAGAATTACAATAAACAATTATACAATATTCAGTGGCCGGTATTAGTTACATAAAATTAGATTAAGTGTGAGCACTTGCTGTTTCTGCTGCATAGTAACTACGCCACTGATACATTCAAATTATTGCAGGGGAAGTGGGGTAGCCAAGTGGTTAAAGCGATCGCTCGTCACGCTGAAGACCAGGGTTCCATTCCCCACATGGGTACAATGGTGGTGTCACCCGTCGTGATATTGCTGGAATATTGCTAAGCACCTAAAACTAAAACTCACTCACTCACTATGATATTACAACCTTTAAGCGTTGATGAGATTTCCTCATCCTGCATATAGGTCACACATCATGGTAACAGATTACTGCAAAGGAATTACAATGACAGTGCAAAATAGAACATCGGTACAAGTACAACGGCAATGTTATATAAAAGCAATGGTTATAGCAACATAGACAGGGATGGTAATATTCACTTCAACAAAGGTCAAGTTTCTAAAAAAGGCCTTGCCTGTGTATACCAGGGTGAACACTGATCTTTTTGTAACGCGAGGTGTAATGATAGATCTCTGAGGCAAAAGTGCATGTATGAACTGAACATTTACTTAGTTCTGCTTTGTTTGGGGGAACTGTTCCCACAAATTTGCCTTGCATTGATGAGACATGGGAAGGTGGCTGGAACATTGGGTAGATTCACTTTTAGACCCAGCGTTGTCCGTTTCAGGTCGTTACAGCATCTGTAACCTCCATTATGCCTCCAGACAAGAACACATTGTGAATCCCAGTCACTATGATTTGGTTCAATAATGTCCTAAACTTCATTCTTCAAGGCTGTAGGTTTGACTGGATTCATCTGGCAGGTATGCTATTTCATCGGCATCTACATCAAAACACACTAAATATGTACGGTCACGTACATCTCTTAAATTCAGATTTTTATCTGAGGGCTAGCCTAGTCAGCATTGTCATCAAACTTGACAAAGTCCTATTTCTCACCAGTGTCACAATATGATACAATATCTACAGAAGGATCAGTGGCAAGACACTGAGTAGGCATGACTTCTTTGATTGGAATTCTAAAAATTGAGGAGATGAAGAATGAGGACAATTTTATGGATGTACAACTTCTTTATTCTGTATAGGCGACGTTTCGACATAGATTGTAATGTACTGAGTAAAAATCTTGTCATGCCTTTCATGACACTTTCTAGTCATTTTGAAAGCCCGGTGTTTGCACAACATAGATTTACTGACTTTCTTATAAATATCATGTGGCCCATGGTAGTTGGTATGTAATCGTTGATGAGGGATTGCTAAAACACTATCGCTCCATTGTTGGAATGAAATTTCTCTCTTGCTACTTCTTGTCATAATGAACTTTCATCTTGTTCTGGGACTCTTTCAAACTATCAGTAGCAACACAGCTTTCAAAAGCATATATTGTAATCTTAAATGATGAAACATTGTCTAACACACATATGTCAGACCTACATGTATCAATAAGCCATTGCTATACAAGTCATATAAAGGTCCACAAACAGTATGGCTAAAGACAAGGTCAAAAGGACTGAAACGTAACCGCTCCTGAACTGACGTCTCACAACCAATAATAACAAGTGAATGCTTCTCCCTAATTCTTCTTAGTTCAAAAGAAGTAGGTATTTATCATTTTCTTAAAAGGTCGGATGGAATATCTCTAGAGCTCTCAAAAATGAAGATGATATGAGCTACACTCAGGTATGCCTAACTTATGCACAGACTGCTGGAATGAACCTAACATAAAATTGGAGCTTTGATGTGACTGAATTTAAGTATCTGACAAACCAAACATACTGAAACCAAAGCCTTGATTGCAACCTGAGCTGTAAAGAATTTTCCCGTAAGGAATATCCTCTGGAAACCTTGAGGAAGAACACATCATAATAAGCATGCACTTGTTGCCTGGCCCACTTTTAGGCAAAGAACCAACACAATCAATTATGAACCTACTGAAATGCCTTTCAAACACAGGAATGAATTTCACAGGTGCGGCTGGAATATTTTGATTAGGCGTGACAGTCATTTGAGACACATGGCTCGGTTTGCAAAATGTAATATCATGCCACAGATTAATCACATTTTGTCCGTAGCCATGATGTGGCAAAGAAGTTTTATGTGCCAAAAGAAGACATGTTTCTGATATGAAGTACACTCCGATAAAAATCCTTTATTCCATTTCCTCATCAGAATGCTATCCTTGAAACGATAGCAAACTAGAACCATGTCAGCTGCTTTTAAAGGAGCGTGCCGTGTTGGGAAGAACTTTGAGTTCTGGGTCTTCCCTCTGTCACATGACCAACTGCTCCCTGGTTCTTCAGCAGCCAAATTACCCCGGGACAGGTCAGGAGAATGCTCCATAACGGCGCCAAACAAATCGTAAATGGAATCATTCTTAGAAGAATGATACCCAGCTTTGCAAGAGTTACAACACAGTGAGGAAAATACCTGGTGTTTATTCAAGATTTTCAGGACTTTCCGAAGTGCTTAGCTGTGACTGTATATTCACAAAAGCATTGGGGAAGTATGGTTGTTCTATCTACACTGCTTACGGCAGTATCTATAAATACCCGCTGACGAGAATCCAGTAGTATCTTCAGAACCAACTGGATCAGAACATGACATTTTGTCAGTAAACTCAGAACCGGGCTTTGAAATGTTTGAACGAGAACTGGAAGAGGTAAAACTTTTCCTGGTTCATATACTTGTGCACTTCTGCCTGAACCCCTGAGTGCCTAAAACTAACCCTATGAAAGTTGACTTCTTTAGCATATATTGCAATAAAGGAGTGGTATATCTACAGTACTATCCATTTTGTCTGTATGAAAGTTGCCAGCTGTTCTGAGCAGACCTAAACAATTCAAAAGCCTTCAAAAATGCAAACAAACCTGTTCAACATCACTCTGAAAGGAGGAACAAGTCTAATCTGCCTTGGAAGTTAGAACGATCTGTCACCTGTGTCTACGTGTAGCACATGTCTTAATCTAGAACACAAGTACCTCCTACTGAATGTCAGAATGGCAACAACAATATAAGACACTTGGAATACTGTAACACAATAAAGTACTTAGTCTATTAAAAAGGACGTTAAACACAGTCCATCGATATGATGATGATGTCTCAAGTATATATCAGATATTTGTCTTGTCACAAACATATCTGAATACGGAGTCTAGTTATAGTTTTCAAACTATCGATAAAACATGAGAACGATGTTAGGCTGCAAAAAGTTCAATCTTTTCATGATGACGATAGATAGCTGAATGGTCACTATATATGTAGACATGAAAGTAATTTTCGGAATTCACTGTAATACTGAAGCAAATGTAAAGTCTGGAAACGAGACGGTAAAAGTTATAAATCGAATGGTCTCAGTTCCATATACATATGGAAATTAATTAAGCAACACATATTTCATAGACCTATAATTTCTGAATTATTTATTAAAATTTTGCATCTTGCTGTATAGAATTTTTTTGCGTGTGGGTATATTCAATGCACGTGTATCGGCGCACAATGCACGTGAAATGTCATACCCCCAATATATTGCGGAAATCAAGTTTTACTTGTTTTTACAATTTTTTTTACTTTTTAAGTGAAATTCGTAATGTTTTGTACCATCTTCAAATAAACCAGATGACACGGTAATCTTGGCTATGTTTCTCCTCAGCACTTTCTTTTCAATGCAACATTAATATGGTGTGGAGATCTTTGACACATTTTATGCATCAGTTCATTAAATTCGCTCAGTCTGAGAAAACAGGGTGTTGCTTGAATAATGTACACATGTATATATACTTGTAACCAAATTTACGATGTTTTAAAGTGAAAGTAACGTGTTTCAGAACAGCTTGTTCATTCACATTGCCGACGACTCCATTTTCTTGTCCTTTCCCGCCGCACATTCAAGAGTTTCGTCTGTTGGTTTATCGTAACCTTGTAACTTGAGAACAATGAAGGCGATACTGAAGAAGATCAAGCTAGCAACCCTGAATGCGCATTCCGTGGCCTTCAGTCTGACTCGCAAGGATTCCAGGTCGTACTGGCCGCACGAACCTCTTACTCCACAAGACGTCTCCCAAATAAGGCATGTACTGTCGATGATGAAACCGAAGACGATGGGAGCCGGAAGGAATCCTGCAACAGCATACATGATTCTTAGCAGTGACAGAGACAATTTTAAACATGTTCGCACGTTTTTGATTAAATCTGAGATACGGTGTTTGTATGGTGTTAGTCAGTTCGGAATTGGAATATACTATTGTTGATATTTCGACAGATCCAATTTCTTTACACACAGTGTTGACAACATGTACCATACGTGGGATATCTGAGTGAGTGAGTTAAAATTTACAGTCACATCGGCAATATTTCAGCCATATTGTGACTAAAACAAGTTTCAAATTAACCATAAATACTTGTAAATTATATAAAAAAACTGTCTACGAAGGACAGTATAACCAACTAGAATATCACAGTATTAAGAATAAAACTAGCATATCTCTCTAAAATTGGACGTCGAATTAGGACAAGACAGTGTGAAAATGGGCTATAGATCGCCAACAACCGAAGGTAGATCACCATACTAGGGACCATGGGTGGGATATCTGTGTCTTGTCTGAAATACTTTCCGTGAATATAGAGAAAGTCCTTCCTTGATAGTATTAATAATTATGGTTTCTCCTTGAGATCTGGATTTGTTGGTACATAAGCTGGACCCAGCAGTTTATCCCCCTTTGTACGGATTTGTATGGAGTTTTGGTATCCAGGACAACGTGGACTGGACATGTCTTCAGGTTTTAGAGTCAAGCCAAACGTTAATAGTACAGGAATTGGCACTACAGTCTTATGCGTATGTGGTGTCAAAGGGACACCAAAATATGTTCAATACAGGCAATACCTACATGTTATACATGTACCTACCGAGCAGGGATGCCAAGAACGAAAACAACCCAAACGCCGTCGCCTTGTCTCTGCCCTCTACGCTCCTGCATAAACATACACAGTTGTATCAGTAGTTGTGTCGCAAGTAGCATAAGCGAAAGACTTTATGAGCATTCGTGACCAACTCGAGTTATTCCGGGACAAGCCGAATAACGGTTACGGAAAGGGGCGAGTAGTGAAGAATCTGGCTTTATGAGTTGGGACAAAAGTAGTATTCGTAAAGAAACGACTGTGTAATGAGTTGTTTTGAACATATGGTTGTTGAAATTTGATCAGTAGGCCTAACAGGTGACACGTTGTAAGTAGTATATTGTGGACGATTTACGTGACAAAGAACGTTGTATCTCTCATACGGCGCAATGTTCAACAACTTGAAATGAGCTCAACCACACATTCAAGGTAGGAAGAAATTTCACTGTACAAGTCAAGGGTGATACAGCTACCCTTGAATAAATCCTGGGTAAATCAAGAAAATATACAGCCTACCGTTTGGATGAATGGTAAAATGTTAATATTCTCCAGTGATGGAGTTCATATAACTTATGAGAGTTTTTCATAAACTAATATGTGTCATGTTATCATAATGCAATTAATGAGAAATATCATGTTTAGTATGTGTGACGTTCCTGATGAATGTCATGTTATTTTTTGTATGTGTGACGTACCTAATGAGGGTCATGTAAATCGGCATGATGGACATAGTAGCGATCAGCTTCTGGATCATGTCGACGGCAATGTAGTAATAGAAGTAGGGGCAGTCGCTGACACACATCCCTGCCGTTGTCTGGCCGCTCGTCACCTTGCTACAACCCCCATACATCTGGGGAACAGACCCGATGACAATATAAGACACTTAATGAACTTAAGAGTGGATGATGTTCTGTCATTCGTATATTGAAGACGTTTAAGGTCAGGTTCCATCTTATTTCCTGATAATTGAGATGCGAAACACGTGTTCACACGCCCTGTACTCTGTGAGTGAAATGTACATAAACGCGAACTTAAACCACATTTGACTCAACCTTAGGTTAGTAATGAATAATATATTTAGCGACTTCAAATCTCAGCACAGTAGATGATCCCGTACCGATAGAGTTTGGTTTGTACAGCCAGCGAAACAAGGGGAGAAGTACGTCATCCCGTCGTCCCCACAGACAGGAAAGTAACTGGTGCTGTCGCACGAACACACTCTGATGCCGTCGTCAAATGTGATGATTCTGAAAATATTTCACATAACCAGAATGAATTGTCAATGAAATGTCAATTTGATCAGTACTACACCAGGGCATGGTGCTGGCTGATATCCTAAAGGTGTGTGGGCCTTTGCCGTTTACCACTTTGGTGAAGGGAGCTTGTGACTTGGGTTTACCGCTGCTTTGAACAGTGTCTCACGGCATCCTTTCGTTTCATCTACATCATAATATCAATTTATAGAATACTACCAACTGATGTAAATTTTGACACTTCGTGGCATAATGTACACAATTAGAGAAAGAAATCTGTTTATATTTTTATTTATTCTTTGCTGACGTGTTGACGTAAAATTAGGAAACAACTATGGACGCTTCCGAGATTCAGCCAATGACGTTGTGTTTCTGGTTCTACTCTTTGCACTGCTTAGACGTGCCTCCATTTGCTGCATTATCTTGTTCTGAAAAAAATGATCGCATGGTAAAAAGTCTTAAACAACTTTCAGAAGCTTACCCCTCCTTGTCATGGAACCCATGAATTTTGGGTGTATCACAGCCCAGGAAAAACATAATAACGTTGCACAATAAGGCTACAATCAGCGTGAAGAGGGTAAACTTGAGACAACCAGCTCGTGTGAGCTTCAGACGACTCGTCAAAAGTCCCCCAGTGAAGGTCCCGACTGTGGCGCTGATGAGACTCTGTACGCCTGCAACACAAACGCCATTTTACACAGTGGGGAGAGAATGGTCTAATATTTACAAGTTTGGTAATCCTGGTCAAATTCTAGAGGGATCTATATTGACGTATATGGTGACAATAATACCCCTCCTTTTATGGTTCTCACACTGTTACATGTTCCCTATGAACAGATGACCCTGCCAGAGGAGGAAAGTCAAAATGCAAAATTCTTTATATATAATTATGAAATGTCTAGGTGATCCCTGACCTCCCCATGTCTACGTTATTCTTTATTACACACCTCTTGAGATATATTTTTAGGTCATCACCTGATTCAGTCTGATCCATAACACAAAAATAAATGGACGGTCTCTTATGTCATTAACATCAAATAACCTGGCACATACAAACGTCAATGTGTTGATGTTTTTCCTTTCAAATTAAAGTATATATCGATGTTCTACGATGTATATCACAACATGTTCTAAACATTATCATTTCATTTGAACTTTATGAGGTTGTAAATGGTAGTAAACAGTTTACAGTGGCATCATACTACTACTATATTCCTGTTTGAGTTACATTTAAATTTACATTTATATTGGAGCGTATCAGTGTGAGGTTGGAGGATACCCACCCATGGTACACTATCAGGACGTGAAATCCATGGGAGGACCACACAGCACACAGATGCTGACAAATAAGGAATCATTCTCCACGTACATCCAGCTATAAGATCACGTCTTCAGGTTATGGTACCAATAGGACAACAGCTGCAGGGCAAATAGCAATGATGCCTAACATGAAGTTTGAAATACCTGTAATTTGTTCTGACTTGGCCGTTTCATTTATAGTTGACTTGGGCCCGTGAAGATCCGGGGTAGAATAGGTCTTCAGCAACCCAAGCTTGCCACAAAAGGCGACTATGCTTGTCGTAAGAGGCGACTAACGGGATCGGATGGTCAGGCTCGCTGACCTGGTTGACACATGTCATCGGTTCCCAATTGCGCAGATCGATGCTCATGCTGTTGATCACTGGATTGTCTGGTCCAGACTCGATTATTTACAGACCGCCGCCATTTAGCTGGAATATTGCTGAGTGCGGCGTAAAGCTAAACTCACTCACTCACTCACTACAGTTGACTTGAGAAAACACCAGATTAGGAAATGATTCCCAAATACATTCAGAATTATCTGAACTGTGATTACCCACCTAGGATGATGTTTGTTTTCGATGCGGGAACCATGAACTGCTTCTCGACGTACTTTGATGTGAAGGACTGACTTCCGCCCACGAGAAACAGCAAGAAGAGCACACCAACCAGCGACAGCCTGTAGATAGGACTCTTCAGAACACGGAACATTGACCGGGGCAGTTCTGAAGTTATCAAACTTATGATGAGCTGGCATTCCCTGGCAATAGCTTCTTCACTGCTTTTGGATAGATCAATAAAAATTATGTTTTAAAGCAAAGGGTATTTGCCATTGAAAAGAGGTTCCTAAGGATCACACTTTCTGTGATACCAGAAGTTGAATGTGTGTACTTATTTATTACGTTATTGCTATGATTATATTATGGGTATATTCATTATAGTTATGCCACATCCACGCCATGCACCTCACAGTGTTGCATTTGTACCCAATTCACAGCTTACTTTACAATCAACGACTATGGTTGCTGTCCAACTTTGCATTCAGTTATATCCCAGCTATTTCAAGTAGATAATGCGAGCAACATCTTTTTTACTACTACACGCTGTCGGATCATTCAAATAGAATATATAAGTGTGAAAATAGCACATAGGGTCATGTTGAATAACAAGTGACACTATATGAAACATATTTTTTATTCTGTAAGAGCACTAAGGCATGTTTTCTATGTGTAATTAAACTTAATACAATCTTCAATATTATGACACCTTTTATTTTCTCTTTAGCAGGAGCGTCCTCTTTGGATGATTGTTTTTCTGTAGTTGGAACAATTTGTTTCGGGAAGAACAGTAAAGGTATTCCAACGACGACACCCAAGCAGCCGAACAGGAGAAAACCAATCCACCATGCTCCAATCCATTTGGGATGTCTTGGTGTCAGCAACGTGTCTAGTGAGACAGAAGAATGGTTTTATGATCGTTAACATAGGGAAACCAAAAGATTAACACATATTGTATTATATAATAAAATTATTTCATGCGACGCCATACGAATCAAACGTACTTCCATGGAATACAAGCCAAATGTCATCTATCATTTAAGCTGTACTACACTCGTTAGCACGTTAATTGATATTCTCCGTCAAAGTATACCATATCATGCTGCCATGATAGCGTCACCAAGTTCTCATTTTAACCCGAACGTTTTGTATTATTGTGTAGATTTGTCGAATACAGGGGTTCCTCTGCTTAGCGAGCTGATCCCTTATCTCGCCGTTCAATATTTCAAAGTAAAAAAAGCTCAGTAGGAATACATTAATGTTTGGATGTTTCTTCATATACATTTACAACGGTTATATAGAATTCAAATAGATTTAACCATTTTAGTCCTTCATATTTACCCAAGTTGTATTTGAATTGCGCCCTTACCATTAATATGGTACCTTTGTTATTTTAAGCCTCTAATGTACGTTACATTGTGACATACGTATTTGCAGACGTGTTCTTGACAGAATATCGGAAATCCAAAAAGCACACATTTTATATTCATGCGTGGTCAAGTCTGATAGAAGACTAGTTTGCATGTTTATTTACATTGTAATATATACTCAGCAGCAAAAAAACGTCAGTACGAATTCAAAATTAGATAGGCACTGTAATCAAGTCATTACAGAAATGGACATAATACGCGGATCAAAAACATATTTTGTGTACAATATCTTGACAAATCAATGAATAACTCAGCACAATGCCAAGACATTACGTGAACGTTTGCAGTCCATTCAGACTCTTGACTTCAGTATCTAGTGTGACCACCACGAGCGGCAATAACTGCAGCACAGTGTCTATGCATGGAGTGCACCAATCGATTGATGAAGGCGATTGGCACCTGGAAACACACGCTTGGAAAGGCCTGGCGCAATAAATCGGCTGTGTTCGGCCTTGGTATGACATTATTCAGTTTCCCCTGAATTTCATCCCAAAGATGTTCAACTGGGTTTAAATCAGGACTAAGGGCTGGCCACTGCATAATGTTGACACCGTTCTGCTGTAGGAAGACCTGTGTAGCTCTGGCAGTATTGGCCCGGGCGTTATCATGCTTGAAAATGTTGTTCCGGTGACGTGCGAAATGTGGTATAACGTGGGGTCTGAGAGCTTGGTCGATGTAGCGCACCGCTGTGATGCCGCCTCCTCTCCCTCGACCAAAGTTCTGGAACACCATTGGACCCACCCTCTGGTTCAGGCCTATTCCACCTCATACCATGATGCTTGCACCTCCCATGAGTCTCTTTCCATAACACATTGGTCTGAGTAACGCTGGCCACGTCGTCGCCATATTCTTGTTCTGCCATCTGCAGTTGATACGTAGTACCGACTCTCATCTGTGAACAGAACAGTTCTCCATTGCCTGAATCGCCAGTTTTGGTGTTGTAGGGCAAACTGTAGACGTTCACGGCGATGACGAGGGGTGAGGATAGGTCCACGGTAAGGTAAACGGCAATGGAGGTTCCCGCTGTTAAGACGTCAGCGTACTGTATCAGTACTGATTGGCCTTCCGTGTGTTCCCTCTGTCTGGCGTGCTGTTTCGGATGCCTACATGGAGGGATTCTGTACATGCTGTCGCACAGCATGGCAGTCTTGTCGTCTTGTGGTCACCCTTGGTCTGCCAGTACGGGGGCGATCATTTGTGGTGTTGGTGGCCCGGAAATGTTGCTGCAGCCTGTAGATGGTCCGAACGTTGACCTGGAAGTGAATGGCAACGGCTTGTGCAGTGTGGCCAGCTTCACGTCTTCCTAGCGCCTGGTTCCTCTGAGCTGTCGTGAAAAGGGGCATCCTGCCGACGTTGTAATGTGAATGTTTCAACCAGGTTCAATCAAAACATTATATGAGTTTACAGTTATCCGTTTCTGCGAAGGAAAATTCCAAACTGACCTTTCTTGTGCTGTTTAGTATATATATGCTTAGTATATAACGTTCGATTTTAAAATGGCGGTGACTTGTGCTTAACTCTTTTAGGAATGTTTCCGTCATATGGGAGCAGTTACAATCAACAGATCTTGGCGTGACAGAGGGTAGAACTGAGACCCTGAGGCAAGCCAAGTATAATCAACAATAACAATACCTTTCGTGGTAAAACTCATATTTGACATAGCCATGACACAGCTTCTTGCTGATATAATGTTTTCACGTAACAGGGTAATTTAGCTACAGCTTAAATTTTAGCATATTTATTTATGTCATGGGCACTGGTTTGAGTAAAGATGTTACTGCTGCTGCCTGACCTTGCAGATCAACAGGGATGGTCCTGAACACGCCTCCTAGTCCAACCGCCATTGCAGGGCCAAACAGCGTCATTGTCATGCTGATGCCTGCACAACAATCACAAGCAGCAATGTAATGATCGCACAAAGACCAATGGAAGGATAACACAAACAACAATGTAAGGATATCATAAGCAGCAATGTCAGGACGGGAATCATCGGACGGGTATCAAGAGCATCAATGACAATATAACACAAGCATCATTGATAATATGACACAAGCAACAATGACAATATAACACAAACATCAATGGCAATATAACGTAAGCATCAATGACAATATAACACGAGTGACATTGTGCTGAAATCACAAGCAGCAATGTAAGGATAGCAGAATAGAAGCGACAAAACCCGTTTCACATCTAAAAACAGAGTCGATTGTACAACTGACTGACTGAGTTTGGTTTTACGCCGCATTTAGCAATATTTCAGCAACATCACGGCGGGGGACACCAGAAATGGGCTTCACACATTGTACCCATGTGGGGATTCGAACCCGGGTCTTCGGCGTGACGAGCCAACGCTTTAACCACTGGGCTACCCCACCGCCCCGATTGTACAACTGTGACTATATCATGAGTATATATTTGTTTCAGCAAATGTTGTTTGTAAACGAGTCTGGACCAGACAATCCAGTGATTGTCACCATGCGATACGATGTTTATGAAACACTATGAAATAGTGATGATATCAGGTGTTCGAGAAACGGTGAGCGTATCCTGCCCCACCGGTGGCACCCGTCATAAACATATGCTAAGTGTAGTCAATTGTTCACCTGAAATAATTCTGGAACGTATGGTACATGTCAAAATAAGGAATTGGAATTTCCTCCACATGTCTACCATAAAACTTGTTCAAAGCTTTACTGAGGCCTTGAATGTAACCTTGATCAACAACTTCTGAGCAGGTGTGGTATGACGCTCTTTAGCACGCTCGATTGTACTTCAAAAGTTGTGAAATGTAAACACCAAAGGCTGGAGCTGTTGGAATATTGCTCGACATGGGATCGGGTGGTCAGGCTCGCTGACTTGGTTGTCATCGGTTCCCAATTGTGCAGGTCGATACTCATGCTGTTGATCACTGGATTGTCTGGTCCAAACTCGATTATTTACAGACCGCCGCCATATAGCTGGAAGATTGCTGAGTGCGGCGTAAAACTAAACTCACTCACTCCTTAATTTCAAGTTCAGGTGGGTAAGTCAGTGGAAGGCAATTGGCTATCGGATGGTTATTGAAGTAAAATGTGAGGGTAACACAAACATCAATGCGATGATAACACAAAGGCCAATGTAAAGATAACACAAACAACAATGTAAGGATAACATAAGCAGCAATGTAATGGACAACAAGGCAACAAGAACATCAATGACAGGATAACGCAACCATCAATGACAATATGACACAAGCCTAAATATGGCCATGGTCAGGGCAAATCTGAGATTGGAATCCGGATAAGGACACATACAAACGCAGTTATAAGTAAAGGTGGACGGGCCATATGAATAATTATAATGTGCATATCTATAGTGTACCCAAACCACACATGCACCTCAAAACGTTTTATTGAGACTCATCGCACAGATGCCTCGACCATCAACGACTTTTACAACAATATTAACTATTCAGAATCATGACACTATTAGTAGGAGCAGCACCCACAGAGTATTCATATATTCACAGATAATGCAATGTTTAATGTGTAAGCAGACAACGGATTCTCAAAATTGGCACGCAATTGGCACGTACAGTGTAAACTAAAGGTGACGCCAAACGAGTATAACAGTGATCAGTAAGGGTATTATGCTGTACACCTATATACATTTATTCTCAGTATCTTTAATTTCTTCATCTATCCAATAGTTAACTGTACCTATGAATCGAGCTGAATTCCTGATGCTCCAGGCTTTGGTGTCTACATTTCATTACTTTTGCGATACAATCGTACATGCTCTCTGTTCACAGATTTCAAGGAGCGTTATATAACTTTTGCTAAAATTGTTTGATAACGCTTTCAAGGTCTCAACAAAGCTTTGAATCGGTTTGAAGGTAGACAAATGGAATATGTTTCCAAATTTGAATTATGAATGACTACTTCGTACGATAATAATGAACATTTGCTATGCCTTTGCATGTGTTTGTGATTATGTCATCGGTGACCCAGGATAAACTCAACTGGTATCGCCACTCTTTAATTATGGTTCATATGCTCAGGATATTGTCGGAACCGAACAGTATACGAAGTTTTCAGCAGAGATTTCAATGAAAATGCCTGTTTTTTGTCTTTTGGGATGAGTTTTGTTCTTACCTATGTAAAGTCCGGTTTTGGTCTTGATGGGATTGTTGTCATCCATGTAAGTAGTTGACAGAGAGGTCCGGGGTGATTTTCCAATACCTTGAAGAACCATACTGAAACCCAACAACCACACTATCCATTGTGCACTGCCAGTATCAGTAGTGACGCCCTCCTCACCACACCCATCTGACGTCGTGTTGCTCGGGTCACACAGAGGGGCCATGAAACTCTGATCCAAAGATGAATTCCTCACATTCTCCGTTGAAAGCTTGGGTAAGTGGTAAGGATCAAAGAAGTGGCACAGACTTGCTAAAATACCTGATACGCCAAACAGAATGGTAGAAAGAGAGATGATCCGGGGAATATGACGGTAGCTTCCATAATGGCTCACGAAAAGAACGGTGCACAGAAAACCTATGTCATTGCAGCTAAGAATAATTCCAGTTGTTGTACTGTTCATATTGAACTGCTTTTCCAGGGCTGTGACTTGTGAGACAATGTAAACACTCAACGACTGTGTGATCATGGCTGCCATGCCGTAGAAAATGGAAAACGATAAGACATTTTTGAAACATTGTAGAGCTTGAGGACGACATGACCCAGCTCCACAATGTGATTGAAATACTTCCTTGTCATCAGCTGGTTTGGCATCATCCATCTTCTGTGTGGTCGTCATCTGGAAGAAAAAAGAACTCTGTGTAATAGACGTCTCGCTTCATGGTGAGCCAAAGACATATGTGAAGGATTAGTTGATAAGGTGTGAGTGAGTGAGTGTACTACCAAATCCCGTCAGTCGCCTCTTACGACAAGCCTGGGTTACTAAAGATCAATTCTAACCCGGATTTTCACGGGTCAAAAAGGATAAGGCAAGCGAAGTGAGAGTAAATGATCAGTTTCACATTTGTAAATAGTCCGCTGTACAAATAAAAAGGAACCTCAATGTGTGATGGTTAAAAAATGAAACAAACACAAAATGGTTATTCGATGGTGATGTAACGGATACAGTTAGTATAAGCGAAACTACATACGTCACCATTTGAAAGGACACTATAACTATCCGAGTGAAGTGGGAATTTGCAAAGTATTAAACATAAAACATGGCTTGCGAGTCTGCATGTTTATCAGTATGTTTCGTTAATGTAAACCTGTTGTGTCTACTTAACTGAAGGGAACATACCAAAAGAAAAAAATGTTTAATTTTGCAAAAGTTAGTCACCTATTGAATCATTACAGATATACTTTATTAATGACATGGGGATGGGGTAGGGGACATGCTTTAAATGTATTTAATTATACATTTTCCTTTGCCCAGTCTTTTAGTTGGAAAATAACGTGTTGTCCTAAAACATGTGAGAGGTCCTAGTGACAACATAATTAAATGGAATATACATGTAGAAATTAATGTTTAACTTTTGAAATTGTTTTTCACCTACTGAATCATTACAGATTTCCAAGAATCATTACAGATTTCCTAGGGATGACGAAAACAAGACTGTTCCATGACATCGACAAACTATGTTAACAAATACTCACTGTCACCTGAAATCCTACTTGGGAAATTACCTCTGTCTTCTAACCGAGCTCCGTGAGTCTATAACCTGTCTCAAGGCTTCACATACTCAGTGTTGAAACGAAAACAACTAGACAAATATACTTCTTTTAAAGTTTGCGTGACAGATTCAGATCTGTCTGTGAGTAGTGCATATGAACACGTCCACTGTCGCCTTCAACACACCGGTAGCAGTTGATTGGCTGATTAGAGGAGGGTTATTGTGTGCTTGGTGGGCTCAAGGACAGCAGTGTCATGAACGACACAAGGGTGCTAGCTGTGAACTTATCAGGGAAAACTCATTTCGTTTGTTCGATAGACGCTTTGTTGGAGCCATATAATGAATCAAACGAAAACACAAGCTGTAAGATACATTTATATTTGTGCTTTCGAAGGAAAACTTATGACAAAAGAAGTAATTTTCACAACCATTACTACGCAAATGTGTTGGTTACGCCCCCGTCTATATGGTGGGGCATGGGAACCCAACCTACCGTCTTGGGCGCAACAATTCCCTGCGTCCCTCCGGCACGGCAGAACCTCATGTCATCGGGTCCGACTTCCTGTTACCTATGATTTTGTTTCTAGATTTACCAGGACTATGCCCTAGCCTGTTTCACAGTCCCTGAACCCCATTATATTTCCTACTGCCTAGCACTTCCTGCAATGCTAAAGCCCTAAATGAAGTAAGTTTAGCTTTCCTCAGGTTCTGAATCTCCAAACACACTAGAGCTCCTTTTCAATTTAAATGGGTTTGTTTGTAACTATCAATATGATATATATTCAGGGACTAAGCGTTAGTCTAGACTATGTCCGTGGTCGTTGTGCTCGCTAAATGTTTACGGCTGTGAACGGATAGCCCAAATTATGCTAACACAGCGTGACATAACTGTAACAGCGTCAAAAGAAACTTTTTCTGTCACTCAATTGTGTGTACTATGTAACTTGTGGTACACGTTTATATGTTGTCTGTATAGTGTGCAACACTTGTACATGCAGTAAGTATCTTGTGGTGTACATTTGCATGTATTATGTATCATGTGCTTTAAAGCTTAGATGCAACCCCCCCAAAAATAAACAAAATTAAAACACAATTATCATTTATTCATGACATGTTATATACGTTGCTGATTATGAAAAAACAAATATACAAAATTATAAGCGTACAATCGCAAATCAAAAGTGCAATATTTTGTAATTGGGTTTAATTTCCTCGAAACGAAGCACCCGGCATACCGAACCCAGTCAGAGTGGGTGGGCGTGCACCTAAGTGTAACGGAGACTTTGCCGATACACTCAAGGCTCTTTGTGTGTGTATAGAGATGTTGAGTTTTATAGAACAGAACAGAACATTTAATTCTCTAAAAACCCACCCACGGTGGTACATGAGAATATAATGATATACAATTTAACATAAATATACAATCAAGATGGAGGATAATAGAATAGTTAGATATAGTATTATTATCACAATTCGTTTACAATTTCAGGGCATTTGACAAGGCATTTAAAAATTTAGCTAGGTTTTTCAAATGCTTTGTTTTCTTTATTGAAAATAGCCGTTTAAGTTTGAACAGATTAGGCCATTCGTAGTAATAATTTGGAATATACATTATCCGCTGTTGGAGAAGAGCTTCGCATTTGAAAAGGTAATGGAATTCGTCCCCAACAGACGGAGAATCGCAAAGTTTACAGAGTCTATTTTCTCTAGGAATGTTGTACCAGCGTCCTGTTTCTATCGGTAAATTGTGATTTGATAACTTAAATCTAAGAATTGGATTATGTATAGATTTAGGGAGGAAGAGGTAGTTTTCAGAGTAGGTTGTCTTTAACATTTTGGTAAAATTTTCCTTTCGAACTAGACGCTAGTTCACATCGCCATTGTTGTAAATATTGATCTTTGAGTATTGTTTCTACTTTTGAAACCAAAACTTCTGATGAACATAGGAACGGGTAATCATACATTTCTGATAGTCCACAATCATCTAAGAGCTGTTGGACAAATTTAAACCATTTCAATTTAGGTAAAGTGTTTGGAGAAGAAGATATAATGAAATTGAATAAAAGGGTCGATAATTTCGTTTTAAAAGTGTTTGTAGCTAGTTTATGCCAGAATGATATAATTCTTTTATATATCTTAATATATAGCGGATATCTTCCTAATTCCCAATAAAGCATGACATTGGGAGTTGAGCTTCGAAGACCACAAGCATATTTTAGAAATTTTGAGTGAGTTTTCTCTATTATCGATAGACATTCAAAACCTCATATTTCTGAATCATATATTAGTATAGGGACTATCATAGTATCGAAAGCTGATATCAGACAATCTAGAGGTAAATTCAAATTGCGAGCTTTTTTCAACAGCGAAAACATTGCTTTAGTTGCATTTTCCACTAGACTTTTAATTGCTGTTACAAACCTTCCATTTCGATGGAGCTTGATACCAAGATAGGTATAGCTATCAGCAATTTCAATGCGCTTGTCCCCATAAGTAAAACATAATTTATTCTTTTGATTTTCAGAGGGACCACTTCCAAAGACAACTATTTTGGTTTTAGACAGATTAACTTTCAACTTCCACTGAGTACAATAATCATGGAAAGCATTTCGGGACAGTTGTAGATCATTTGGGGTTTCACTTACGAGGACAGCATCGTCAGCATATAAGAGGAGTATGAGCCTTATCATGTTTGTTATACTATTTTCATCTACTTGTTGTAAGTTAATTCCAGGACAACCTTTACTATAAAGAAACGATTCCACATCATTTATAAAAAGTGAAAATAATAAAGGGGAGAGGTTTTCACCTTGTCTCACTCCTGTGTTACATGGAAAGTAAGATGAAACATGGTTATCTAACATAATGGTAGATTTTTTATTATGATACATATTTTTAATGAGAGACAAAACTTTCCCACTTATACCATATTTCAATAATTTATATCATAAACCAGCTGGCCATACAGTGTCAAAAGCTTTCGTGTAATCAATGAAAACACAATATAGTTTTCGTTTGGAAAGTTTAAGAATTTCAAATAACACATGTATCACAAATAGGTTGTCGCTAGCAGAGAAACCTTTTCGAAAACCTGACTGAGAAGGGAATAAAATATTGTTTATCTCCACGAAATGTGAAAGTCTTATATTAAGAATACTAGTGAATAGTGAATAGTGAATAGTTTTCCAAAACAACTTAATATGGTTATAAATACATGCTCATTTTTTGTGTATAACATTTTGCAATCAACAGACATCATAACATGTCATGTGTACGAGTATCACACCTGCCTGTCTGTTTAATTACATAATGTGACAGACAGAACTCAGGTACACTAGCCATAAATCAATGCGTTTTGTTTATGGTGTAGATTGCATGTGGTCAGTGATCAAAGTTGTGTATTGCATATTGTCATTAGCAGACAGGCAGGCAGACACATAAGTGTCAATAAAACAGACACTGAGTTTTGTCTGTGACAGAGGCATATCTATATATCACAGTTAGAAATTCTGACAATGCTAAATAATGACGTCGCTTTTAAGTATCGAAATGAGAAAGTGACTCGGTAAGAAGAACGTGTGGTGAAATAGTCAAATGAAATTATATAAACAGTTAAATCGGTAATCAACTTTCATAACGTATAAAATGCTCGCGCCTGTGAAATATCAACAAAACATTAGAAAAATAGCTCACATCAAAGCCTACTCCGAGTACTCTCGCCAGCGAAGGTTTTCCGTCACACTGGTTGACACATAGCTGAGTAGATCTAGATCCTTAACAAGGTTCTTTTATGCAACGAGTAGATTATTTACTATTTGTTGTTTGTGTACACAGCCGAGGTTAGACTACTCCTGCTCACGACCTTATAATCCGGGCATCCCGCTTCAAGCTGCGCGAACCTATTCACCGCGCATGTGCTATGAGCGCAGCGCAGCACAGGTGTTGAAATCACTTTTCACTCCAGCTGGGGGTATTTTCCAGCTGGAAACTCCGATTTCGCGGGGGTTTTGTTCATGCGTTATATTCCAACTTTACAAGTTGAATTTGCATTTTTGATAATTTGTTACTGTAAGTCCATACCGAAAAGTATCAGAATCTGCAAAGTTATGTTTTGTGTTGCATGTAAGCTTTACGTTTGCTTGTAGCATGTTTTATATGCTACACGTTTATATCTATTATGTATCATGTGCTGCTCTTTATGCGTTATATTCCTTCTACGGTACATTTGTGATGTTTATAATATAACAGATCATGGCTGGTGCGCCATGAACTACACATTAAAATGTGTGGCGTGCCTATTGATTGAAGATCAAAATGTAGGTGTGAAAGTTTGGTACAACGCGAAGATGTACAATGTGTTTTGTGTTAATACTGATATGCATGTTGTGTGGACATTATATGTGCGATGTGCCTTGTGTGGACACAAAATATGCTCAACTGCGACAGATGTTAAAGACTAGGACTGTTCTGTGCGTTTATAATTATTTATCTTTCATGTATATATATACACCTGTATATCAAGATGACAGGCCACCAGGGCCGAGATTGTCTAACACGAAGCAGAACAACATACATCATGGTCAGGGTCGCTGTGTAAGCCCTTTGGGTGACAGGCACTCGACAGTTGTTGACGGTGTGCGTCTCGGGAGACGTACACTGTCGACGTCCTAACCTGACAATGTATCGCAAAAAATGAGAATATACCTAACACGTGTTACAGATATGGGTGATCCAGACGCTTAGTCTCTGAATATATATAATTGTGATGGTAACAAATAATCCCAGTTAAATTGAGAAGGAGCCCCAGTGAGATGGAAGATTCCTGAGGATATGTAGACTTTCATATATTTGACACATCAGTTACTAAACAGAATGCAAATTTCTATTCACCTGGAAGATAAAAGAGTTCTGTGTAATAGAGGTCTCGCTTCATGGTGAGCCAAAGACATATGTCAAGGATTAGTTGTTTGTTTGAAATATAAAGACAGTTCACGAACTAGTACAGTTGCATTCTCGGCTAAAACAAGTATATTGTCAGTTTCATTAAATGATAAGATGTTAGTGATTGAGTATAGTTTTACGTCGCACTCAGCAGTATTCCAGCTATATGGCGGTGATCTGTAAATAATCGAGTTTGGACCAGACAATCCAG